GGTGCTGTGGTGCCCCACAAACAACCCCCCCCAACCCCGCCGTTTTTAAGCGGCCAGTGGCTCGTCTTCAAGCAACGCAGCTCCCGGCTCACGTTTCCCCCGCTCTCCAGCCCCGCACCAGCTGCTCAGAGCTGCACGTGGGGCAGAGGCACAGCCGGCGCAGCCCGCCCCGACTCCTGCGCCCGCTCTCGCCTCGGGCGACGTGCTGGAATTCAGACTGCTGGAGTTACGCGTTCCTGCTGCCGACGGCCACGGCTCCGCATCTGGCAGCACGGAGCTGCACGTACCAGCTGGCACCAGGCGGCGGAGGTCAGCGACAACGGCACAGCGTGGCATGCCCGCGGCAGCTGGCCATCGCCCTCCCCACTCGCCAGCCCCACGGAACACCGACCCTCTTCCCCACCCTCCTCCCATTTCGCTGGGGTTTTTGGTTGGGCTTTTTCAATACTTGACTGCTGCCTGGAGAAACTGAAACGACGAGGAGCTCTTGGCAGCGTCTGTGGAGATCCCGCAGCAAACGCGTCCATGCTGCTGGCCTCGCTTCGCTCCTCCACCGCGCTGCCACCTGAGCAGGGACGCGAGGCCTGACACCGTGGCTCCGCGTGAGGAGCGGCGCCGCGTAGGCTGCCGCTACTTTCCTCCTGACGCCGCAGGGTTGTCCTTTCAAGCACCGATTCCACTGCTTTCCCGCACACGGGGCGTCAGGCTCGACTTGAAGCCCCAGAGGAGGCTGCGACTTCTAATGATCGTTAGTTTTTACCATCCTCCATCACCCGCGTTTAGTGACAGATCCGTTTTTCCTACCAGCTCTGACGTCTGATTCTTAAGCTCCAACCTACTCGTACTCTGAAGACTGCTTCTCCAGCCGTCCAGTTCCTGCAAGATTTGTCAGGAAGCAGGCCACAGCCCAATTTCCATACTCAAAAGCAAGTGTTCCTTTTGAAAGGGATCCTGGTTATCTTTGCAACCCTCGTACCGATGCCGGTGAACGCTGGAGCTGACCGACCTCACCACTGAGGCTGATGTTCCAGCTTGCTCGAGGGAGCCCACGGCCACGTCAGACATAGCTCTTCCCCAGTTGTGCTCAGCACCGCCGTTGCCCGAATGTGATGCCGAGGGCACCGTTCACCCGCCATAAATCAGTGGGACCTGTGCAAGCTCTCCCAGCTCCGGCTCAGCCTGCTGCGGCCTTGCAGGGCACAGCCCTGCTAATCCCAGTCAAGAGCTGAAATTTGGGATTAAGGCCACGGTAACTCTATAAAGTGCCTGCACACATTTACACAGAAGCTCTTTGAATTGCTTCCAGTGAATAACACCTCGGCAGCGCAGCAGAAAATACACTTCAGGGACCATCCAGCGTCCTACTGCGATGCAGCACACTTGGACGAGGCTGCTGCCGTGAGCCCTGCCGCGCGCTTCCCACATCGCCCAGGTCGGAAGCAGCAACAGGATGAACCTGTATCCGTGTGCCAAGCGGCCAAAGCTCGGAGAGGAAGGACAAGTTACGTACCTGGACACCTACACCCAGAGGAGGTACGGAGCCTTCCCAAGCCCGGCAGGAACGTGTCACACTTCCACCAGGTGACTAACAGCACCCACACAGTCCTCTGCACCGCAGGGCTAACGCATTTCCAGCAAACCCAGCAAGTGAACGGGTTCTGAAGTTCTTAGAGAAGCAAGCCTTTTCTCCAGCTGCAGGGGTTGTGTGGAGCTTCACACTCCACCTCTGCCTCCCCGGACGGGCTGAAAACGGGAGGCAGCGCTGACGAGGGAAGAGGGCAGACCTTGTGCTGGGGGCGGAAATACGTGCTGTTATTGAGCAGGATTCCTTCGGTACAGCACCAGCTGCCAGCCCGAGACCGAGTTCAAAGCGCTCCTGCACAAGATGCTCACTGACAGCCGCTTCCACTCGCGCTGAATGGAGCGGGCTGGAGCTGGCACGGACCCTTACGCGTTGTTAGATACAATCTACACGACAACCGCTACCATGTACTGAATGGTGAAGGAGAAAGTGTGTCAGGATGTTTGCATATCCTTGGACACGCTTGTTAAGGCGACGCTGTACTTTCGTCAGCCCACCAGTGCCAAACCGCGCAGCTGGGACCCCGGGATCACGCGCCAGGAACCGCACAGCAGAGACTGGCCATTTGCTCCCGCTCCTCCGCTGGATCCAATGGTACAGGGGCCTCTACGCCATTCTGAAGGAAGGATTTTCTGAAGTGCTCACACCAGTTTGACATTTAACTCCCTCGAGCTGCCCGAAAAATCACCCATGACAACTCCTTCCACGCAGCCCCACACAGGACGTACAGGGCACGGCTAAGAAGCACCGGGAGAACAGGACACCCAGCTGGGCAGCCCCTTACCTCCCAACCCTGACGTACTCCCCCCGAGCTCACGCTGGTCCTACTCCAAGTCTGCTCTTTAGCCCGCATTGTCCCACAGGTATTCTACAGTCAGCGTTAGCTACTGAAAGGAAAACCGTAATTCTAACACTGGGCTTGGATCACACATCCAAACCCAGAGACTTCCAAAGCCCCGTGGCACCGCCTTGCCCTGTGCAGCACAAGGTGGGGAAGAGGCAATTATCTGGACAGCCTGTCCTGTAGAAGGAAGACACAAGACGACGTGCTGTGCTGCTAAGGACTCCCTCGGTGAAAACAGGCCGCTGGCGTCCGCGGAGCCTGGTGCTGGGAGACGGCATCCAGCACCGCCCCCGGAGAACGCCGCGGCTCTGCGTCTGCGTCGCCAGCCCCGGTATCGCAGCACCAGCCAGCGGGGCTGTGAGGACTCGGGGTCACGGCCACTTCACATTTTTATCCTGCAACATCCCATCATGCCTCTGTCGCAGAATTTAAAGAAGGATTATCACCTCCTACAGCTCTGGAGACAAAGAGGAGCCAGGTCAGGAAAAGGTCTTCCCTGGGCACAAAATTCTGCCCAACGAATGCAGTCTGTAGGAAATTCGGATTTTGTTGACCCTTGGTTTTGCTTATGTTCCTTTTTGCTCCTGGGTACCCTTGCAGGGAAATGTCGAGGTGCACCCCACCATAAGCAACCGGGACACAGCATCCCCTTAAATTCCCGTCCCAACACACAGGCACCCATGTGCGTAGTCCTCTCCTTCCCTGCACTGCAGACCGGGACACGGAACGACTAACGGGGAACAACCTGAACTGCAGCCGCGGTGCTCTCGCCTGGCATTGCCTTGAGACAGGTCACAGCAGACCCCCCACTGCCGCACTCAGCCCACCTCCCTCTGCAAGGAAACCTGCCCGCGTGGGGCCGAGCGCTGCAGGGCACCCAGCCGGACTGCACTTGAACAGAACGCAAGGGTTCTCGCGTGGCGTTGCTGCGGCAGCAGCGAGACGGCCCGAGCCCAGAAAGATCTGAACACCCAGCCGCGGGAAACGGGGGAGCACAAAGCAGCACAAGAACGTGCTGCAGACTGCTCTCTGCCCTGGAAAAGGGGCAACGCCACTTACCGCCGGCAGCTGGACGCAGTTGGAACTGACATCGTATTCGATATATGCCACTTCTGCCCCTTCTTCCGACCTCCCATCTCTCATGTAGCAAACGTCCCTTGTCCAGTTGGTCAGGCGATCCACCTCCTCCATGGCGTAGACACAGAGCGCAGACTCCTCGTTGGCTTTGCCAGAAGCAGCCTGCCAGGCAGAGAAGGCTGCAAAGAGCACTTCTCCCTCAGTGCCCAGCCGCCCCTGGGCCAGGCCCTCTCCGGGCCGGGTGACGTAGGCGGCCTGCAGCAGACTGTACGTATTGGCTTTGCTCTGGCAGAGCAGAGGCAGCTCCACATACGAGTAATAGTGAGAGTCGTCCAGGCAGATTCGCGAGATGTAGGTCTTGTACTCGCGCGACTGAGACTTGAGGTCCCGGCGGTAGAAGAGGAAATAGACGCTGGAGCGGTAGGTGAAGGATTTAACGAAGTGGTGGTTGTACTCGGAGAGCCGGCCCACCGCCAGTTTCGCCGTTTCCTCATAGGAGAAAATGGAGTGAGAGTCTGTTGCTTGAACATCCCCGCCGTGGGCCCGGAGATTTCGGGTAGTGATGGGAGGAATGCCTCCCCCAACTCCTCGGCTGGTGTACCCTCGTCCCACGAACAGCAAGGGGACCTCATCCTTTGAGTAGGCGATGAGTCCCACGGTGGTGATATTGGGATCGTTGGCAGCAACGTACTGGGTGTCCCCAGGGCTCTCCGGTCGGAAGAGGATGTGGTCGATGGACGTTAGGCTCCGCTTCTCACAGATTCCCTGGTGCACGCTGCCACAGACGACGAGCTCCTTCTGCACCGCGTTCACCAGCAGCAGCTTGTTGTGATTGTCGGTGTGGTGTGCCTGGGGGCACTCCAGCTTTGAGACCGGGGGGAGGCAATCTTTGCTGTCCAGAACTGGTCCCGTTTGAACCACGTTCTTCATCAGCAGGTCAGACGTCAGCTGAAAGAGAAAGTTGGTGGCCCCCAGGTAGATGGTCCCGGATTCCAAGTCCATAGACAGGTGGAGGAATTTCGTAGCGTTGCGCGAGAACGTGGCATACTGCGGTCCTCGTGGAGTCGCTGCTCCCAAGAAACAGAGAACAGGAAGAAGGAATGTTCCCAGAGGCATGGTAAAAACTCTGCAAGAGAGGAATAGCTGTTACAACTCCTCGTAAACCAGGAGTGAAGATCAGCACTCAGCAAAACCCTCCAACAGCACTCGTATTACGAGAAGTGGGCAAGAAGGGTGCGAACAGGCACAGACAGCACGAGACGCACAGAGCCACCGCGGGACGTCGGCGGAGGCACCACGGGCAAGAGGCCTGCAGAAGCACCAGCACCTCCGCACCGAGACGCCAGGCACAGCAGCTCCAGCAGAAGCTGCCATACTGCAAGTCGTGACACGGGGGCTTCCCCCGAGACCGCGGGGTAGTACTGAGGAGACTGTCTCTTCGCAAGCCCGGGACTTGTACTAAGCTTCCTGGGTAACACTCCAGAGCACAGATTCACCAACCCAGGGATATAACTCCAGGAGAAAGGTCCTATCTGTGCTGCGACAGAAGAGGTTTCAAGCACCGAAGCTGATCGCTGTCCCTGTAACGTCAGAAAAGGCCAAGTTTAACCAGCGTCCGGCACAAGCCTTTCCTAGGATGCTCTGTGGGAAGTTCTCCCGGGCAGAACCATGCTCCCACAGTAGAAGCACATCGCATGCACCAACAGTGAGCGCTGCCCCAGCAAGACAGCGCCCTGCCCCAGGCAAACACAGCCTGCAGGACTGCTGTTTAAATACGCTGCAGCCGAGACGCAGTTCGGGGCAAACCAATAACCCTTCGCTCTGTACCTGATCTAGATACCCTAACTGATCCTCCCGCTCCACACCTACGGCTGTCGGCAGCCCCTTTTGCGTCTAAGGCTCTTCCACCAGTGCTTCAGAAGGAAACTGCCCGCACCACCTCTGCCACCGCGCACGGCCCGGCCCAGCAGACTGCTCTGCCCTGATGCCAGGATGAGGGACACAGAGAGTCAGTCATAGCAGCCTCCAGGTCCCTGGGGCCACCAGCCTGTCCCCAGCCTGGGTGGGCAGATGCAGCGTGTCTCGGCGAGGGGCAGACCACCTCATCCTGCGCTCTCTGGGGAGGTCTGGCTGCGCTCATCTCTGCACAGCACCTCTACCAGTTCTGCGAAAGGTGACCTAAACGTGCCCGCTCTTGGATGCTGCTGCAGCCCTCCCCTGCCCCAGGCCCCAAAGCGCAGGCAAGGCCAGATAGGGTGGGTGGGTGGGTGGG